TGAGTCAGCCTCCTTATATCAGAGAAAACATTTGGCATTTGTTTTTTGGGGATTGGCTAACTTCACTTAGCATTATCTTCTCCAACTTCATCCATTTACCTGCAAATGCCATGGTTTTATTCTCTTTTATTGCTGAGTAAAATTCCATTGTGTATATAGGAAAACTGGGAATGGAACCACCATTTGACCCAGTTATCCATCTCCTTGGTTTATACCCAAAAGACTTAAAAACAGCATACTATAGGGACACAGCCACATTGATGTTTATAGCAGCACAATTCACAATAGCTAAACTGTGGAGCCAAACTAGATGCCCTTCAGTGGATGAATGGGTTAAAAGAAAAGTAATGGTACATATTCTGACAAGTTTTTTTATTATTATTATGATCCTTCATAAAATGAATGCACTACCTTCCACAAATCCAAATGTCACTCTTCTTTGACGTTCCCAGCTCCCAGCCTACTGTCTCATCACTGGGTGCTGTCTCTTAGCTCCTATGGGTTGTTGCTCCAAGTAGACCAGCTGCATAGATCTAAACTCTTGAATTTCCTCTTTCATTTTACAACACTGACCCTTGGGCCCCTTTCAGCTTTTAAAGATTCGAGTTTTGCCCTGATGCCTTCCTCAGTCCAAGTGCCCAGAATGAGGAAGTAGGATTTCAGTCTTCCTTTGTCAGGATTGGAAAATCAATCATTCTTATCAGTTCCCGATTCCCAGGGGACAGTCCTAGCCCTCAAGTTTGTAACAGACTGAAGCACAGTTGCACTTTCCCAGTTATTATTGGCACAGGGGTGAGAATGGAGCTTTGCCTCCCACATAATTTTAGGCCTGGTCACCTCTGTTCACCTTGTCCTCAGGTAACCCATCGCCATGCATCACTAAACATGTTTCAACTTCATGCAACTGCAAGGTGTGCAGAGCCTTGTGGATTCAGTTTTTCTTTTCACATAAGTGAAGAATGGCAGTGTAGGAGATTGCACCTCTTCTCCAGCCAGCTAGAATGTGCTCAATCACTTCCTGGGGCTCTCAGCAGGGCCAAAGACACATGTGCTGTTCCCATGCAAGGAGACAGCCATCTTGAGACTGGGAGAAGTGAGAGTCGTGGACATTGGTGAACCACTAGAGTCATGAGCCTTCTCCTCTTTTCTATGGTTGAAATGCCTATGTTCAAAGTTCAATGAGTAAAATAGTTGGAGCATCTCCAGGGTCCTCATATCCTATGATGAACTCTAAATACCCTAGATCTTTTAAAGCTGAAAGAGAATACTTCATGGTGAGGGATTTCTGTAGACCGGGATATAGTATCTGAAGCCCATACACTGGTACACAAAAAATAAGAGACTATATAATTTACCATCAAAACCAAGGCCACTTTGGGGAAGTTAAATGTCAGTTGAAAAAATTACTTTGGGATAAGACAGTAAAACTAGGTCTGTCCTAGGAAAACCAGGTTGCATCATTACCCTAGCAATGGACCATACTTCGAGAAACACATTCCAAAGGTTTCCAACATGCACAGCTCCTCACAGCCATGCTCACAAGTCACAGACAGAAACATTTCTGAGAGATATGGAGCTTCCAGAAAACCTAGAATGTTAAGATGCCATGGGGAACAGAGGGAAATACAGAAGAGCTTGTCCCTGGAGAACTGGCCCAACACTGTCACAGCACTTCCTGGGGCCATTCAGCACTGCAGCTTGCTTCATAGACTGAGCAAGAGTATTTGGTGGGTCCTCTGTCAGACCTTCCCTGCTATACCACCTGCTCATTAGGCCACTTCAGATTTTTCTGAAGTATAGATACCCCCAGGACACTATCGTTACCCTTGACAACACACTATATTAAGGCTATATCAGGGATATGCACACTTTATCTACCACCCTGGTCCTCAACAGCAACATCTGTCTAGATCATGGAATCAGTGAGACTTTCTGCTAATGGGAACTTCCAACCATCTGCCTTCTTATACTGTTATCCATGTTACTATATAGTGTTTTTAAAGGCCAATCATCCAAATAAAGTTGTTGGGGTATCTCCAGGGTTCTCATATCCTATGATGAACTCTAAATACTCTAGATCTTTCAATGCTGAAAGAGAATACTTCATGGTGAGGGATTTCTTTCTTATGTCCCACTAGTTGAACAGAATGTGCTAGTAAGATATATCAAGGTCCTCTCCTGTTCTATCTGCTTCTGGCAACATAGTTAGTTGTCTAGTCATCTCAAAAGCATTTTTTTTCTCTTTCAAAAAAAAAGCATTTCTTCATTGAAGCCAGGACAGTTCTTATCATAATAATTAGTTTCCATTCCTGAGGCTTTCTCAATGCCCATGTGAGGACTGTTAGAGCAAATGAATCACCCTGAAGAAGATAACCCATCTGCTGAACCAAGAACCAGAGAGCAAGTATGTAGCTTGGGCCCATGCAAAGGAGCTGCCCTCCAAGTGGGAAATGACAGAAACATTCTCTACGTAAGGTATCTGCCCCCTGTGCCCTCCAAAGTAGCACAGATCTTCAACCCTGTGGTCTTCCCATGCCAGTTCTACATCACCATTCTACAACTACCACAATGCCTTCCTCCCTAACTTCCATAATACTGTACTCCCAAGGATCTGACTTCTGTCCTAGGCTCAGGAACCCAACTGAAAACCTGGGATGGAGAGTCAAATTATCAACTTGTTAAGTGAGGTACTCATGGAGATGCTCTCTAGCTTCAGCCTGGAATTCTGGCAAGGATAGAAACTGGAGGGTTAATTCCAAGAAAATTTCCCTTTCTCTGAAACCTGGTAGAAAAAGTTTACATTCCAACTTGGCATCCAAAGGGAATCACAGTTCTTCTGTGTTCAGGAGTTGGGGCCTAAGAGAATCGAACAAACTCCCTTCATTACCTAAGCCTGTAAACTTGCCCAGTCCTTCAACATATTTTGTTTTCCTAGACTTAATCTATTTCTTGGATCAAAGTATTTTGTTACATTATATAAAATATCACTTTTATTTGGCTATCCCTCCAACTGACTAAGAAAGAAAGTTTGAACAATATGGAGACTTTCTTAATTTCAAAGGACTGGGGAAAAATGTACACTGTATTCAAAATTATTTTTACTTTTTGGGAATGGGGAGCTATGTAGCAAGGAGAAAGGAAGATTTGGTTCTATCTCCATTGTTTTAGTTTCTTAAAGGAGAATGCATTCTTATATGTCATTATATAATTTTAAAATTAATTTAATATAGTAAACAGAAAAAAGTGCAGCCGTGACATTAGGTACTCAGGGAGCATATCAGTCAGTGTTCTCCAGAATTATATACATACATATGTAAGATGGTCCCTGATTTAATGATGATGGAACTCATGATATTTTTTGGCCTTACAATGATGCAAAAGATATATGTATTCAGTAGGAATGGTACTTGAATTTTGATTTTGAGCTTTTCTTGGACTAGCAGTATGTAGTATGATACACTCTTGTGATGCTGAGAATGGAAATTTTGTGCCACAGCTCCCAGTCAGCCATGTAATCAGGAGAGTGAGTAACTGATATTCTACAGTGTACAGTATTGCCACAGCATTCATAACTTACATGAGATAGTCATTGCTCTATTGTAAAATAGATTTTGTGTTAGATAATAGATAGATTGTCCTACTGTGGGTTAATCTAAGTGCTCTTAGCACATTTAAGGTTGGCTAGGCTAAATTAGGATGTTCAGTAGATTAGATGTATTACATACACTTATAACTTATGAAATTTTCAATTTAGAATGTGCCCGCTAGGATGTCACCCCACTGTAAGCCAACTCACTGGCTAAGGTCCACCCACATTAGTGAGGGTCATCTGCTTCACTCTGTGTCAAGTAATATCAGATGTTAATTACATCTATAAAAGATCCTTATCACAACACTTAAACTAGGGTTTGACCAAACATCTGAACACCCACAGCCTAATCAGGTTGATACATAAAATTTAACAACCACAGGGAATTTCTTCTGGCTCTTCTTATCTTCTCCTCCAAACAGAAGCTCTGTGGCTTCAGTCTCAGATCTGTGCATTCTTACAAGGACCCTGCCCAGACCTTTTGAGCTGATGTCTCTGTTGGGCCATTTGGCTTTGAGTTCAAGTTTCTCCAGCATCCCTGCGGCCACACACTCTTCCGATGAGCTTGTTCTGCATCCTGAGTCTAGCTCATTCTGATGCCTTGGCCTCTATTCATTCTGGGCCACAGACATCACACCAATAACAAGACCCATTTGAAGAATCATGGGAGGCTTTTTATGAAGTATTGGCATTATAAATGAGAGGTATTCATGCTTTTTGTTATTGTTTTACTAATCACACATATTTCAGCAGAACTTTAATATTACAGTCTTATGAAATTCTGCCAAAGGATAGAAAAGAGAACCCATAATCATTCTACCCTAAAATAACCACTCTTAACATTTTAGTATACTTCAGCCTTTTTCCTATGTGTATAATTTTGTAGAGTTGTAATCATACCCAATATATAATTTTATCATGTTTTCCCACTTACCATTATACTATAAGTATTTTTAATCTAGTCATAGAGTCTTCAAGGTTGTCACTGTTAATCGTTACACAATAGTTCACTGAATTGAAATGCTTGATTCACTTAACTATCTTGTTATCTATACAATTTCCAATTTCTTCTTATAATAAGTATGCACTACAATCTTTGTGATTCAGTGTTCTTTTTCAAACCTTGAACTTTCTCATGGAGTTAAAATTACTTGGCCAAAGAATAAAACTTCTGTTGTTTGTTTTAGTCTCTTGCTATACATTTCTAAAAATATTTTAAGGCACATTAATTTACTGTGCTGCTGATGTAAATGTGGACCATGTTGTCATTATTCTCTTGAGATTCAAACTTCCACATGTGAGGATAAGGGACCAGAAGGAACACATCCAGCACCAATGCCTGCACTGCACATTCAGAAAAGTAGCCTGGTCCTTACTGTACAGCTGTTCTGTGTTTCTCTGCTCCTTACAGACTGAGCAGTTGATAACCCTGTGGGTCCTCTTTGTATTCACCATTGTTGGAAATGCAGTCGTGCTGTTCTCCACATGGAGGAGGAAGAGGAAGTCCAGAATGACCTTCTTTGTGACTCAGCTGGCCATCACAGGTAAACAACTGTTTCAGTGGGAGAGGAAGAAGTTGTGTGCACAATCCCTATGGCTCCTGCTTTTGATTATTCTACCAATAGAAATGCAGTGCTAGCAGTCAAAAGGTATCAGTAAACTCAGGAGCAATTTCTATAAAACTGATGTTTGAATATTTCCTTTAACAAATTTAACACATTTATATGCCAGTGAAATATAAAAATAAGTTCTTACATTCAGAATTGGAAATACCATTGTTAATATCACCAAAGGGTTCTATAGGGTTTTCTTATACATAGCCGTCTCCCTAGTTCACTAAGATAATATCGCCATATCATCCCATATTGGGAACTTAAGTAATACATCCTAAGAAATGAACCAGAAAGATCTCTATTCAATACTAAAAAGAGAAGTGTCAGGTACTTTGCAGACTAAATCCTGTACTGCTTTCAAAGTGCAAGTAAAGGTGTAGCACCTCTGCTGGAGGGGTATGAGGAAGCAAGATGATATCCAGGATCTGAATGTTTAAATGTAAACTTCGGGAATGGCCTACTTGGTAGATGTGCAAGCACAGCACTTCTGGAAGGGAAATGGCAAAATATCAAGAAAGAAGGTGATCTATGAAGGGAAGACCCCAATAGGAAGGTTTAGAGGCTAGATTGGTAGAGCTCATGTTCAAAAAGAAAAGGAAAATACAACCAGGAAGAGAGTAGCATTCCATAAAGCCAGAGAAGAGAGTGGGCAAATGAGACTCACAGAGGTCCCAGGCTAAGCCTGGCTGGAGTCCTGAGCTCTGGGAGCAGAGCAGATAGCTGTCATATTACTTTAATTTGGATCAGTCTATAATGGAATCTCAGTGGCATATAAATGTGTTAAATTGCAAACAAATTTTTAAGTCTTAAGTGTAAACAAGGATTGATGTTAGATGACTTTCAAAAGGATCTATTTAGTACAGTTCAACCTGTGCTGTCATCCTAGCTGCAGTACCGGCAAAGGAGTTCTTGGAATTTAGCCTTGAGCCAAAATATGAAAAATATGACATTAACCTATAGGAGAACCTTAGTTATGCCTCATTCCCAACCTGGATCCCCCTTTCTTTGCCTATGTATTGTAGCAAGACTCTGAGAAAAGTTGACACAACCTGAGCTACTTGAGCTATGAGAAAGACACCATTAAAAAGTATAAAGAAGGGCTGGAGTTGTGGCTCAGTGGTACAATGCTCGCCTAGCAGGTGTGAGGCACTGGATTCGATCCTCAGCACCACATAAAAATAAATAAACAAAATAAAGGTATTGTGTCCATCTACAACTAAAAAAGAAAAAAAAAACATTTAAAAAGTATAAAGAATATAAGAACCACCTAAGCCCAAAAGGTGGGACACGTGATGGGGGAAATCTCCTTCAGTCATTCCTATAAACAGGAGTCCCATTATTCACTCTCACAGCTGTAGAGGAGTAGAGAGTGGTAATCGTCATCCAGTAAATCCTAGGATTCAAAATACCTGATTGAGAGCATCACAACTTGTTTCATCACATTTCTCTGATTACAGTGCTGTAACCCATATTCTCTGAAACTATGTATTCTCTAAGAGTGTAAAACTTAGAGGTGGCAAGGATATCAACTTGGAATTTAAAGTCTTGCCACAAATAACAGATCAATCATGGAAATTTCACCATTATTACCAAAGAGAAAAGATGCATGTTCTTTTCTAATTCATAGTCTGTTGAAACCAGGTTTGATTTCTCATGAATGTTCTAGACAGACTGTTAACACTTTCTGGAGAAACTCAAGATGTCAGGTGAGGAGCAATTCAAGCAAAGAATAATTCTCAAAAACACAGCACTGCTAATGGTCTAAGATGAAGGCTCAGAGAGTCTGTGATTAAACTGCTTATATGAGATATGAAAATATCATCCCTGCCCATCTCTCCATGATTTCAGATCCTTGGGGTAGGAGTGATGGTACATCTCTGAGGCCAGAGTATGTTTGTAAAAGTTACTTAGATATCAACTGAGAGACCCCATTCATTGAGATTTATATTTTGATTTGATTTGAATCCCCTACCATAAATCAATGTTATGCCCAAAGTTTCTGTAAATTTTCTGAACCCTATATTTGTATCACTTTTGGTTCTTGCTTCCTACTCAACTATTAATCTCTCATGTCACCAGCATCTTGTGTTATTTAACTTGGGTTTGTTGCTGCTGTTCCATGCTGTCCCTGTCAAGGCACTCAGCCCCTTTTTTCTTTACTTTTTAAAATCATCCACAGAAATAGGCCTTACTATGCTTAAAAGGCTTTACTGAACACTTCACGTAATATAAGGATATCATATCAATGAAAAGTAAATTATCTTAGAATATTTTGTGTTTTTAAAACTTTCAGCTGCCACTAGACATTTCTCAATGTTACCTTGCTCTATCTAGCCTTGTGTTTTATCTTCATTTTTTTTACTTTTTTTCACTTTTGAATGTCTATTATCGAATGCCAAGAGCTTTGATTTTTCTATTCTGTTTTTATTCCTATCAAACCATCACATATTTTCCAAAGAAAATAGCAAACTTTTTAAACTAAACAAGTAATTTCCTAAAAAAGAAAGAAAGAAAGGAAAAAAGTAACATAGAACCAGTGACAACGATAAACAGACAAGCAAAAACACATATTCATATTTCTATTTACATGTCATAACATGTAAATAAACTGGTTTGAATTGTAGAAAACTGCATGATAAGTAATGTTAGCTCAATAACATGCCTTCAGCTTTCAAAAATTTTGAGGTGGTTCATTTTAGACAAACTCTGCTGCCTACAGTATTAGAAAATCTGAACAAATTTTAAAAATTATTAGAGGGCATCATGTGACTACCAAAATAGCTAAGACTTGAATGACCAAGATACCTTATAAAAGAGAACGCCAAGGTTAAATACATTACTTGATACCACTATTCCCATCTACGAATCAATTTAAAAGCAGAAACAGAATCTTGAAAAGCGGAATAGAGTCTTTAGTAGTCTTATTGGACTTATAGGACAAAAATTTCTCTGCCCAGGCATAGCAGCTTTTTAAATACCAGTATCTCTGATGGGGCTACTGACATGCTACAACTTATAAGAGTGAACTGAAAATAGACCAGCCCTCACAAAGACTAAAAGAAACCTCCAACACTAAATGGAATCAGATGATCTATGTGCTACCTCTATATGTACCTAAGCTATCTTTCAGAACAAAAGTAAATCCACTTTAGAGTATGGATTTTATTTATAATATTATCAAAAATGTTAAATTAACTATACTTTTTCATTTACAATTTTTCATTTCATAAAAGTAATCAGGAATGCAAAAGTCAAGAATTGACCAAAGGCAAGGAGAAAAGTAGACAAGGAAAATGGTGGCACAAGAGATCTAGCAATTGGAATTAACAGTTATAAAATTTATAACTATTGCTAATCTGTTCAAGAAACTGAAAGACTGAAAGTCCTAGAAAGAAATAACAGGAAACTTAAAAAATGAAAATTTTAACATAACTAAAACTAAGAATACAATAGTAGAGTTTGGCAGTAAATTAAATATAGCTGAAGAGAAATTATTGAACTGGAGAATAGGTCAGAAGGAAATAATCAGATTGAAGCATGGAAAAATGAAGGATGGAAACTACAGAAAGAAAGTAAACAGCATATGGACACAGTGAAAAAACTCTCGGAAAGAGATAAGATAGAGTAGATGGAAATAATAGTTGAAGGTATGATGGCTGGTAATTTCCCCAAACTCCTGAAAGACATTAAACCATGGATTCAAAGCACCACAAAGTGGTGCATATTTTTTTTTTTTTTTAAAAGTCAAACAGAGAATTAGAACATAGGAAAATTATTAGATTATGTAAAACCTCCAAAATCTTGAATTTAAGTAAATAAAAACTATTAACTGAATTCACTTATATTTTATTTTTAAAGGTTTGCTCATATTTTAAGGATACATCCTAAACTATGTATAGATAAACTAAAAATATGTCTTTTATTTACTTCAAAACAATTTGAGGGCAATGGTGGGCAGTGATACAGATTTTCTGAAATTGAAAATTGTTGAAGCTTGATGATAAGTACATGGGTTCTTATACTATTCTCTCTAATTTTCATGTTTGAACTCTTCTTGACAAAACTTAAAACAAAAATAAAAAATATACATGACAATAATGAACAAAATAAAATAAACAAAATAAAGAGTTTAGAGAGTTAAAGACTTTAAAGTCCTTGAATTTTTTGTATGTAGTAACAGTACTAACTTATATTAGATTTTAATGTAAAGAAGGTATGTTGACTCTCCAGGGTTATCTACCCAAGTTATGAAAAATAAGTTCCTGGACAAAAGAGAGACACAATGGAATATTTTAAATATGCCAAAATTTATATAGGATATATGTGTTATTATAATTAATCTATAGGAAGTTAAGAAGGGAAAGAAACGTTAGAATTATTAGGACAGAATCAATACGATATAACTTTAAATGACAAATATATTGGCAGTTGTGTATGGACTAAATATTTCAATTAAAATAACAAGATTATTGTACTAGATTTAAAAGTTCAATCCATTCATAAAAGATGTATATCTTAAATATGATGTACAGAAAAGTTAAAATAAAAGTAAGATGATAAGGTCTTAGCTTTCTACTGCTGTGACAACATAGCTGAGATAATCAATTTATAAGAATAAAAATTTTATTTTGGCTCACAGGTTTCAGAGATTTTAGTTCATAGTTGCTTGGTCTGAGTGCCTTTGTGTCTGTGGCAAGGCAGTGCATCATGGCAGGAATACATGGCAGAGGAAAATACCTCATGGCACCTAGGAAACAAAGAGAGAAAGAAGAAAGATGCAGGGTTCCAATATCCTCCTTCCACTAGGCCTTACCTCCTAAAGGGACCAAAACTTGCTGATAGCATCAAAGGGTGGGGGGAAAAAATCCTTCAATAAATATTGCTACATGATTAGAGGTGCCACAGGGAGTTCCCACTGAGCAAGGCCATGG